AAAAGAAACTGAAAGTCAGTAAACAAATTAAAACTTAGACAAAATCCTAATACTAAAAATCGATAGGCAGCTATTACTCCCCGGAAACGGCCCCAAAAACTTGATAGGGCTCAGGTTTTACCCAAATAAAACTACTGCAAGTGCACAACAAAAGCAGTTGTAGTACAAGGGGTATCGAATCCCAAGAGAGTAATGCAAACTAAACTATCGAATGTAGGTTCAGATTAAGCTAAGCAGAATATAATGTATGTAAAACAAATGATTAAATAAAAGTAAGCAAGCGATTTTGTAAGATGATCTAAGTTTCAGAAGACTAAAAGCACTAAGTCAGGACAGTTCGCAGGTTGAATCCAAGAATGTAGAATGCATGAAATCAAGAATGATTAAAAACCGTTTTAAACATGAATCACTGATGTATAACTAATCAATTCTCATTGCAGAAGTTATATATGCCTAAATCACAGAGTTTCAAATCTCTTTGCAAACTCTAACAACCTAAGCATGCAGGAATGATCAGATTCAATTGTTCACAAAACTCCTAAGCCAAATCTCTTTGCACTACGTTGTTTTGCTCATCAGATACTAGTTCAGGTTATCAATAATGCTCTCACATATATTTAACAACCTATGATTTTCGGATTCCTAGATGATGTGTCTCAGAAATTCGATTTTAAAGCAAGCAGAGATGAAAAACCAAAAGATATTCCTAACAGGTAGCAATTCTACAAACTCTTCATCAATCTTTGAAAAAACTCTAACTTAACTAGCAGATTACTCAGACATGATTATGGAATCACAAAACATAACTGAATAAAATTGCATTAAGAGAAAGAGTAAAAGAATAAGGGGGTTTGAAATCTTCTCAAAAGAGTACAGGATTTGTCTCCCCAAAAAGCTCTGAATAGATCTCTCTCTAAGCTCTCTGAATTCTCAAAAACTAAGATAAAAGCCAACAATGGCTGAAAAACCTAATAAATAGAGGCTAAACACGATCTGGGGTCTTCTTGCAAATAATGGAACTTTTGGGCCAATTCTGCAAATAATGCTCCATCTATTAATAAACAGCCACGACCTCCTTCCTTGGTGGGTGACGAGCGTCACCAAAGGTGGTGACGAGCGTCACCTATATGGATACTTTTCTTCCCGAGTTGGATACTTCGTGGCTTCAACTTGCAATGCTCCAAAAAGCTTCAATATCTCCAATTATGCTCCAGACATGCTATAACCTGCAAAGACTCTTCTATGACACTAAAAAGACCAAAAAGACTCAATAAAAAGGACTTATATCATAGTTAAAAAACATAAAAATCATGATATATCAAAAGATAATCTCGGTGAACTGGAAATGGGTTGTTCTTCCGGTTACGCTTCGACGCTTTAGTCAGAAAAGACACGTGATTGGACGAAGTACGTAGAGATATCGGAAGAACTAAGGAATAGGATGCTCTATCAACTCGGAGGGACTTGTTAGAGCTTTAAGGACTTAGATTCTCTGATGAAATGAAGTTAGAAGATGAAGTTATCGTTTTAGGGCATTCTCCTCCTCTCGTTGGCGCGAGGAGTGCGTTTTATAGGGGATACCTGGTTTCAAGCCAAACCCGGTTTGGATCTTCAAGTTCCCTGGGTCAGGTTCCTGCTACTATCTCTTGTCATCATTATTGCCATTTCTAGTCTCCTCCATACGTGTAGTTAGAGGAGAGGTTACCGACATGCACCGTCTTTTCCTCGCCGTCACCATTATGGCCTTCTTTAATAAATATAACATATTTAATGCTATTTAAGTTTTTGCCGCATCTGTTGTCTACGCGTTAGATTTGATGGACTATAAATATATTTATAGCCCAAAATATTATATTTATATATATATATATATATATGAAAGCATTTTATAAGCATTAATTCTAATTATAGAAGTATTGATTCCAGTTTTAGAGCCGTCGACTCTCCTTTTTGAAAATAATATGATTTTGAATTCTAAATTTTGGAAGAAACAATAAAATAAAACTATTTGAAAATGTATAAGTTTTTAAATATATTTTTTGATTTAATTGAGAATACTAATTTAGTAAAAGGTATATATATATATATATATTTTACAGTTTTACATATATTGTTTTCTCTACAAACGCATAAATTTATTTAGAATTATATTTTTCAAATAATATATATAAGTATGATTGATGTTTAGTGTTTTATTATATTTATTTTCATAATATATATATATGCATATATGTCTCCAAAACATATTTGTTTTCTTAATAATGTCGGAACTTAAAATTATATAATTTATAGAATTATTAATTAATTAATAATTACGAATTTACCAATAAAATAAAAGATTAAATTATAATGATATTTTTCGATTTGAATTTAGAATGTTCATTAAAAGATAAAAAATGTTTTCAATAATCTAAAATTCATTCAAAAAATATCATATTAATAAATTTAAAAGATATGTGAAATAATATTTATAAACTTAAAACAATAATATAATTATATTTTAATATATTATATTATATATAAATGTATGATTATTAATTTATATAATTATTTGTATTATAATGTTATATAGTAGTTTTAAAAAATATTATCTTATTATTTTATCGAAATTTATTAATTTTTACACTGATCTAACTCGGGACCAATAAAATTTATTAATTTATAGTAGTTATTAATTTATCGAATATTAATATATAGAGGTTTGACTGTATATTTTTTTTAAAAAAATTGGTATTATGTTTCTATATATTTTGTTCTTCATATCCATTTCCAATCCTATATCATTTAATGCATAATTATTTAGATATGTTTTTTTAATTATTTAGATATGTAAACAGAATGATTATATATTAAAAATTAATATAAGATATAATAAAAAAATTTGACTAAAAAGTATTTTTAATCTATTCTCAGATCTTCACTTAAAAAATTTCTTGTGTTTGCAATTCACCTTTGAATTTTGAAATTTTGAAACTTTAAACAGTAAAATTTCAATTTCAAACTTTTTTAAAGATAAATCTAAGTTTACCATTAAAACAATAGACTCTTAAATAAAATGTTCAAAACCAAAAAACAACAATAGACTCTTAAAATCGTATTTTCAAAATGAGCCATTTTAAAAATGAAAATGTGGATGGAAATACTTTAATAATAATCTAAGAACAAACAAACAAAAATCGTATGGTGAGAAATTAAGGTAACGAAAGAGTCTCGTGATGCCTTTTAATGTATTTCAACACATGTCCCTTTTTCCATTTTCTTCGCATCATTGGGCCGCCTCTTGAGTCTTGTCCAACTCTTTTCCCTCTCGACTTCTTCCTCTACTTTCGGTCGTATTTTGCTAAATCCATTCCTCTATACTGTGTTACTTTCCACCAAGACTTCTTCAGTCTTCTAATGAGCAAGTAAGTCTTCTTTGTCTTCTTATTTTTATTTTACTTTTTGTCTCGAACGATGCTCTTTCAAACCATGTAATAAATCTACATATCTGATTGTAATTTCAGTTTCGGATGTCGTGTTCAGTTCACAAAAATTCTACCTAAATTAATTGAAATAATATATAGTTTTATCAGATAATGTCATACAGAAAACCCTTCTTTAAATTAGACGTTATGTGTTAAAGTTTAATTAGGGTATTTTATCGGTAGAGCAAAAACACTGAAAAAACAAAATCTTATTCGTTAAAAAAAGTTGATGGGAGAATTTGCTTTTGTATGAATATTTATTCTTACTATTAATTGTATCATGCATAACTGGATTTCATTAATTATATATAAATATTCAGTGGGGGTTTTAACTCCATGTTTACTCAATATTGTGAAAAATGTGGGTTGAAAGTTGAAACCCAGCAAGTATTCAGACAATTTTTTTCTTAACACCCTAAAGTTTATTTCTTAAATTAATTTGGTCAATATAAAAGAAATGAAGATTTATGTAGATAAATGATAATTGCTAGAGTTGCTATTGTAAAAAAGGTACCGATAAAAATGTGGGGGAAAATAACATATTTTCTATTCTCACAAAATGCAGATACTCGAACAACATTATAGTTTGCTTAGCAGACATGCAGTTTAGCACAATGATCAAAAGCTCCAGGAACGAAACTAAACAAATGGTGACTGGCATTTTAGATAGTGTAAGCCATTGTATTAATGAACTCCTATCAAATCATGTAAATTATTACAATATGATTAATAATTTTTGTAGTACTCTTGCGTGTTTTCTTAAAAGTATAAAGCCGTAGCTTAAGCATACAATTTAGAGGTTTTAAAGATAGATATTAAAGAAACAAAACTCAAAGTTGGATTCGTAGTGACAGTGGTTCAAATTAAAGTCGATCTAAATAATATCTATTTAACTTCTTTTACGAATCTAAAAACTAATTGAATCTAAATATCATTGTCTTTATAGTAAACAGGGGATGCATGTCGGCCAAGTTTGGGTGAAGGACAACAAAGTAAGAAAACGACCACAATTTGCTTGTATAATGAAATAGTTGGCCGGGCCACAGTAACCGAGTAAATAGAAATAAATAAGATTATCAAATTATGCAATAGCCTGGAACAAACAAAAGATTGTTGAACTCACCACTTGCCACTCTACATAAAATTGTATAATTTTTCTTTATGTCATGCCAGGGTTTATAAAATGATTTCGAAATATTATCTAAATACTTTTCTTAATTTTGATTGTGTAGACATACTTTTCTAGATAATTTTTTTTGTAAACCTTATACAATTTATTTTGACGTGAGCTAACTCACTTTACAAAACAAACAAAAATTACATACATTGTAACATTTATATTTTGACAAGAACTAACTCACTTTACAAAAACAAAAACAAAATTATATAAAAACGTTGCGATAAAATAAACCATTATATCAAATCTTACTTTACACCAATCCTAATGGAGAATTTATTAAGAAGGTCTTAAAAATATTTTATTATTTTATTTTAGACACTGAGTGTATTAACTCAACAAAAGTATTTTATTTTAGACACTGTGTATATTTTTAAGACCCTTTTACTATTTTTTATTTATTTTTATTATTAAGATCTTTTGTTTTAGATACTCAAAGCTCTCTATTAGGGTTGCTCTTAGACTTCTAAACCTATAAACACGACACTGCATTAAACACGACATATAGTATAATAAATATATTTGGGATATACAGTATACTTAATTATACAGGATTTTGATGAGTTAAACATACTGGACGAAAGTTAATTAGCTCGCTGGCTGAATCTCCACTGTCAGTATGCCACCACAGGTCTCCCTTTGATGAGTTCGATCTCCCATGTTGGAGTTGAAGAAGTGTGGTCTCAGTCTCTCAGACCACACGAGTAGCATACAAAAACAAAAAAAAAAAAAAAAAAAAAATACTGTATCCACAAAATGTTTCTTTTGAACTCAACTGATAATAATTAATAGATCGGGTGTCCATATATTACCCTTAAGAGTTGTCTTACATCACATGTGATGATGTTGATGTGAATAGGCGTATCATCCGCGTATATTAACTATAATATAATAATTGAATTTCTAATAAAAACAGATGATTTTGTTGTGCTATTATCTATCTACTCTGGAGATTTCCTGATGAAGAAAACACCAGCAAAGTCATTATAAAATTCGACCGTCCATTTGAAGACGTACACGTCTTTATGGTCAAACACCATTCACCTAACTTCCTAGAAAACCACGTAATTAAACAGTGCATATGCCTAATTACTCATATGCAACCCCAATCAGTTAATAGACTTAGTAAAATTCTAGGCTCTTACCATATCAATTCTCTTTAAATTTGGACACGTCTTCCCCTCTTTCTCCCTCTCTCTCCCTCTATAAAATAACTTTCAAAGCTTGCCTCTTACGGAGAAAAAGTGCATGCAGAGACAATGGGCAATACGAATTCGTTGTGTGGGAGTAAAAGGTAATAATTAGTTCACTCTCCATCTTAATGCTTTTAAATATCAAGTAATTTAGACATGTAACGTGTGATGTTGTGAATTCTGTAGGTTTCCCAACTACGAGAAAGCCCCGGTGGGTTCTTTTGGCAACAACTCATCTCACGATGGTATAAAAACAATTGAAACTGTTAAGAATTGTAGTTTTCTTAGAAAATCAGATCTATGTATCCGTATCATCACATGGAACATGAATGGAAAGGTACGACACTCATATTCACTATTTATTACGTATTTACAACTTTCATTATTAGATTCAACTACGATTTATCATTAATTGTTATTTATAATAAATGTGAAGGTTTCATATGAGGATTTGGTTGAGCTTGTTGGCAAAGACAGAAAGTTCGATTTGCTTGTCGTTGGCTTGCAAGAGGCTCCCAAAACCAATATTGCTCAACTTTTGCAGACAGCTTTATCTCCAACTCACGTGTAAGTACTATACTGTTTCTTATGCCCTTTTTCAAAAAAGTACTATATTGTTTCTTTCTATTTATATCCATTCTTGATTTACCAAAAAAAATCTTCTTCTTCTATATTCCATGTAATTTTAACATTGTAAATTTCCATATCGAAATGAAATACAGGCTTCTTGGGAAGGCGAAATTGCAATCGATCCAGCTATACTTGCTTGGGCCAAAGAATTCACAAACATTAGTAAAAGGTATTTTATTCATCTATATTCACTAGATATAATACTATATTTATCATAATAGTTAACATTTTTACATTAATTAAATATGAAAAATGACAATAATACGAAAAAAAACAAATCTCTCAGTAACTTTTTTATTAACTTACTGGACGCTAGATCTTTCCAAACACCCTTAAGGGTCTATCGAATCTTTAGACATCAGATAGTCCATCTAGATAAATCTTCGTTTTACAGAAGAAAAATATCGTCGACATGTATATATATTTTTATAATAAAAAAACTAAATACTTTGATTGTTGTACGATTAATTGCAGAACTAAAGGCAGAGAGACATTCAGTTGGAGGATGTGGAGGTCTAATTGGAAGAAAGAAAGGAGCCGTCGCTATTCGTATTAACTACGATGACATCATAATGGTTTTCATCTCTTGTCATCTCTCCGGTAACTACTTTAATTTGGTTTTCATCTCTTTTATGCTAATTCACAGTTAACTACATTTACAATTACAAATACTAATATTAGAATGGATGCAGCTCACGCAAATAAAGTAGATAAAAGAAATGAGGAGTTGAGACACATATCAAATTCACTTTTATCAAGAGACAAAAGGACACGTGACCTCACTGTTTGGCTTGGAGATCTTAATTATAGAATCCAAGATGTCCCTAACCGTCCTGTTCGATCCCTTATACATAACCATCTTCAATCTGTAAGTCATTTCTTCTTCTCTAATTCCATATAATACGAACAATATCTTGATACTTATGGCGTGGACATTTCGCTTTCGGGTTGGTTTTAGATCAAGAATAGTAAGAATATACAAATAAAAGACTCTTAGCAGTTAGCACACACAAAAAAAGAATATACAAATAAATGATAATTTCATAGGCATATATCTTGATATATATAGTTTTAAATATTAATCTTATTTGTAAATTTATATATTTAGTTCGATAGATTTGGTTGCATAAACTTTTGTTTTGATCTGGTACAAAATATTGTTAAGGTTCGGCTTTAAGTAAAGGTTTTGTCATAGTTTTAACTTTTAAATAACTTAGGTTTTAAATAACCGTACATGGTTCGATTCGTTACCCACTCCTAATCATATTTGACGTTATGACTTCATGCAGGTTCTTGTGAGTAAAGATCAGCTCTTGCAAGAAGCTGAGAGAGGCGAAATATTCGAAGGTTACTGCGAAGGAACTCTAGGGTTTAAACCAACTTACAAATACAATGTGGGAAGCAGCAACTACGATACAAGCCATAAGGTGAGGATTCCAGCTTGGACAGATAGGATCTTGTACAAGATCCAAGATACCGAAAATATTCAAGCGACTCTTTACTCTTATGATTCCATAGACCAAGTCAATGGTTCCGATCATAAGCCCGTGAAAGCGGATCTTTCCTTGAAGTGGATTGACAATTAGACGAATGAATAAAGTAAAGGTTCAGAAGATATGCAATGCTGCATTGTTGGCTCGTTGCTATCTTGAGAGTAAATAGTAAGCAATATTTCGAGTTTTTTTGTTAATTACTAGTATTAATATTATATTCGTATTTCTCAATATAACAAATCGCAAGTTCGTAACTATACTTCAATATATAGCGCGTCTTTTTGAAAGTCTCGTATATGTGTCACAAGTTTCCTCAAGAATCGTTCTCATGATGAGTGGCAGATCACTAGCTTCATTGAGCTCTGTGTTAGCTCCTTAAGTCCCATTTTAGATGTCTTCCAATTCCAAAACCCTTTGTTCCGAACTTGTTTCTCATGAACAAACCATGCCACTGTAACATATTTTTAATAAATTCCACATGGATGTTATTAAGTTACCTCTTGACTAGTGTTGAACCAGAAAATCACCACTAGGGTTTTGATTAACAGTTGTGGGTTTTAGAGAATAAGATTTTTTATTAATAGCAATAAGCGAAGCGATTACAAAGAATGGGATAACCGAGAGGTTATGCCAAAGTGAAATAAGATGTTTGCGAAGTAAACTAGAAAGCGTTGGAATCTCTGATTTTGGCTCTGCTGCTCTCTAGCTTGTATGAGTTGTTCTTCTTGGCTTCGGGATCTTCTTATTTATAGGGATAGAAGGTCGGTTGTTTCAAACTCCTTTTCCTTTTTGCCTTTTGTGAATATTTCCATATTTGCGATATGGAAGTATCACTTATTCTCCGAAGAATATGGAAATTCTCCTTTATCCTTTGAGTTGATCCGATGTTTTCGGACTTCGAAGGTTATCTTTAAGAGTTTTCCTTTAATCCGAGCTAGGTCGGCGCAGTCTTCCTAGTCTTGATGGGCTTAGGTTACTGCTAGAGAAAGCATTTTAGGAAATGTGCTCATTTCCCCTCTAACAACTAGATGGCCAGACCTGGATGACGGCTGACAGGCTTCAGGAGTTGAGGCGGCGATGCAATTTTCCGACCGGAGTCAAAGTACTCCTGCCGCAAGTGCATGAGAGAGTGTTAACGCCGCCGGATGGTTACTTCTGCTCATACAAGTGCCATTTCACCGAATTCGGCTTGAGTTTTCTGTTGCCGCTGTCCTTCTTCCTTACTGTGAAAGGAAGAAAGTACCCCTTGGCCAGCTGTCACATGCCGTGATTAGGCATCTGATTTCTATGGTGGCGGTAGCTCGCGCGGTGGAGGTTCCTTTCAACTGCAATATTTTTGAGAGAATCACGCTTTTGAAGCCCGGGATGTGGAGCAGTGCGGGGCCGTGGCGTCATTTCTATACCACCATGAGGCATAAGATCATTGGTGGAGATCCAACGAGCAAAGTCCAAGAATGGGATAGCTACTTCTTCTTTGTGAAGATTAACAAAGCCTCCATCAACTGCTCCGAACTCGAATTATTTAGAGTTTGGAAGTCGAAACCTGGTAAGCCGAACTGACCTACTGTTTTTTTTTGTTTTTATATCCAATTTTGAGATGTTTGACGTGCCTGTTTTTTATCGTTCCTTCAGTGCAAATTAATCTCGGGAAGGACCCGTTTGGCTTCGACGTTGATATCATGAAGCTGTGCAAGCTGAGTCGGCAATTATGGTCCGAAAAGAAAAGGGCCGCCGAGAAGAAAAAGAATGTGGCCAAACCGGCCAAGAAGAGGGCCAAATCTTCAAAAGCAGGTAGATTGCTAGATCAAAGTAATTTTCAATTTTTTTGAAGAGTAACACCTTATTCCTATGTTTTGAATCACTTTTTCAGTTGCTAAGAAGGTTTCACAGCTGAGATCCGAAGGAGCTGGTCAGAAGAGAAGAAGGGTGGCTCCGACAGCGAATGCAGATGTTCTCGCGAACTCTTCTGCAAAGTGGAAAAGGACAGTTCCTCGGGATCCACCTACTTTGGTGATTTTTGACGACGCCGAGCTGGCCACCGAGAATGAAACCCTCGCGAGGTAAATTCCTTTCCACATTTTGTCTTTTACTTTGTCGTGCCGAGATAATTTCTTTTGTTTTTGACACTTTTTTTTTATTGAAGTTTCTCCAGGGCAGCCGCGCTAGAAAGATTGAAGCGGGCACGGGCTGAGAAAGCTGCGAGGGGTTCTCAGGGCGAAGCATCCCAAGAAACCACCACTCGAGCCGTAGATGGTGGTGATGGGGGGTGCTCCCGATGCTGCTGGGAGCTATCGTGAGGTTGTTCCCTCGGCGCCCCGGGTCGATGTTCCTTTGCCGCCCCGAGCGGACACTCCTAAAAGCCCTGTAATCCAGAATTCGGAAGGCGTAAGTCGGAAAGAGACTGAAGAGCCTGCTATGGCCTGTCCTGAAGAAGCTGCTACTTTACAAAATGCTCCGGACGCTGATGGTGCCAGTCCAAATGCTCCGAAGGAGGTTGCTCCTTCACAAAATGCTTCGGGTGCTGATGGTGCCGATCCAAGTGCTCCTGCCGAGCCCAAGCAGGAAGAGGAGTTCTTCGATTACAACCCTAATCACTTCAGCGTGAAGTGGGATGGAGCTACTCCGGCGATGCTCGATCGCGACTTCGCCGCCAAATTGATTTGGAAGTGTAGAGAGAACCCAAGATGGGGCAAACCTCTACGAGAGCTGAAGTTGGCGAAGTCGATATCTTCGGCGAGCCATTTGATAGCTCGGGTATGCATACTTTTCTTTGTGCTCTTTATTTTGTTTTGTTGCGCGCTTTTCTTGATGGTTAGCTATGGTGTAGGGCCTGGAAGAGTATATGTCTGCATTCGCGACATATGACAATGAGTATTGCGAAGAAGCAATGATGTTGGACGTTGCCTGTGCCAGAATCGAGGAGCTTGAAAAGGCAGAAAAGTAGAATCAGCTTCTCAAGGAGAGGTGCGCCCAGCTCGAAGGTACTATCGAAGCCTTCGAAGGTGAGGTGGCGGAAGCTTCCCGGCTTCGTAAGCAGGTGGCTGCCCTCCGTGCGCAGAATGAGCTGCTCGAGAAGCAGAATGAGGAAAATGCGCGAAGGTTCCTCGCCGAAAAGGAAAAGCTTCAAGAGTCTTATGACGAGGTTTCGCGAGGTGTTGCTGACAGGATCTTCGACTGTATGATTGCTTGGTTTAAGCCGCGATTAGATCGGGTTCAGACTTCACTGGTTCAGCGTGAAGAAGTAGAAGCAGCCCTTGTGCTTGGTGGCATTTCTAAAGAAGATGCAGGACAAAGGATGGGAGCTCCCTGCCGGAACACTTCCATCCTTTGAGAAGGAGTTCGCTAAGTGGCGGGGTACCAATGATGCTATCAACGAGATAGTTATTACTAGCGAGGACCTTAACCTCCCGAGCAGATCGGAAATCGACAGCCTGCTGAAGCGAGCATAAAGGGAGTCAAGAAACGTCGCACATCTAGATGCTTTTGTTTGTATTTGATTGGCCCTTGCGAGGTCTTTATTTTATTATTTTTTTGTAATAACTTTGCCTGAGAGGGCTTTTTATAATGTGTTTTTTTTTCTTTTGTCCTTCTCTCTTTATCTGCCTACCGAAGTTAAAGTTTCTGTTGCGTTGATCGAACTTTTTACTTCGAAGCTGGAAGCGGGATTCCTTTGCCCGTCTTACACCAAACGACGATCAAGATCGAATACCAAGTTTTCAGGATTCACTTCGGCCTGAAAGGTATGATCGAGGGTCGTGCGAGTATCCTCAGCTTTCTTCTTATCCACTTCGGAAGTAATTAAATCGAACCGAAGTATCAAAGGAGTGGTGACCAGCCACTGTTTTTTATTTGTTGTGTTTGCTTTTTCGAATCGAATGTTTGGCCAGAACATCGATTCAGCAAAATGCATTCGCATAAGAAAATATGACTTTACATGCCGAGCTGATTTTCCGAAATAAAAATTTATTAAATTTGCAGCTGCACCCGGAGGTTGGCTACGTACCCAAGTTGGGATCAAGCCGTTCGTAGTTCATTACAGTTATTGAATGAGTAGTATTACTCAGGGGCCAAGTCCACTTTTATTGAGAGAAAAAAAAACTGAGTATTAAAGTAGTTAGATTCGTTGTTGAATATACTTTGCTTATGTAGCGTCCTCGAGGGCTTTTTCCGTAGAGAGTCGCACATTTTGTTTGCTAATAAAGCAAGATCTTGCCATCTGCTGATTGCCGTGAAGTGTGAAAACTCCGGCTGAGGTAGCAAACTTCATGCATTGATGGTAGGCCGACACGATAACTTTCATCTCGTGGATCCAAGGTGTGCCGAGTATGGCATTGTAGATTGCTGGTTTATCCATGACACTAAATTTGACAATTTTTGTCACTCTGCCGACGTAGACTGTGAGTCATATGGTTCTGAGGCTGAAGAAGGACTCACTAGCAAAGCCAGTCAAAGGCTTTGGGGCCACCTTGATGTCTTTGTCCTAGAGCCCCATCTTGGTCAATGTATCTTTGAAGATAATATTGACAATGCTACCGGTATCCACTAATATTTTGGCCACCTCGCTATCGTGAATGCGTAGTTCGACCACCACTGGGTCGTTGTGCGGGGTGTGTAACCCGTGCATATCTTTTGATGTGAACGTGATCGTGGGGTGTTAGTCCACCGGACGAGGGAATTTTTGCGAAGCGATTGCTTTGCGGCCATATTCTTTTATGGTGCGAACCGAATCGTCGCAGTCGGGGAGTCTTTCCAGGATCATGTTTACCCGTCGCTTTGGCGGAGGGGGTGGATTGTCATACTCGCCTTCATCATTTTGGTGCTCCGTTCCCTTATCCTTTTCTTTTTCTTCGCGCTTCTGGGCGAACGACTTTGGCGTCTTCCTCCGAAACTGTTATGGCTACTACTTTTCTCTGGATCTCGGCGATCCTTGCTGGAAGTGCCTCGGCGCGAGTCCCTAGAGTTGGAACTACATGAGTAGGAGTTTTTGTTCTGGGATCGGTCGCCCCCAACATCGATTTTACCCTCCTTGTATTTTTCATACAATGTGTTCTGGAGGTGTCAATAGGCCGAGGTAGCGTGCCCTGTTCACCTGTGGAATGAGCAATAGAGGTCGTGGTTGTCATCCCTATCGTCTGAGTTCTTTGGGGGATCGCCGCGGGTCCTCTGATTCCAGGGCTTCTCTCTGGTAGTCACGACGGCGTGGGAGGACGGCTTGTGTTTGCCTGCGGGGTCCTATCCTGCGAGGTGCTTGGTACATCCATGCCGTGCTTCATGGCATAGAAACTTTTCTCCTCCTCCATTCGTATGAAAGTTTGAGCTCGGTGGAGTGCGTCTTCTATGGTCTCCTTTGGGTGTTTCTGCAGATCTTCCTTGAAGGAAGATTCGAACCAGAGGCTGTTCATGAGTGCCTCGATAGCTAGGGCTTGCAGGATCTAGCCGTACGCCGCGGCTGCGCTTTTAAATTTTTTGATGAAATCGCGGAGTGGCTGATCGCACTCCTGTACTAGAGTAAAAAGGTTGACCGTCCTTTTTGTACTGAACATAGAGTAGTGCTTTATAAAGGCATGGGATAAATCCTTGAAGGATTTGATCGATGCCGGCGGGAGGTTGGAGAACCACTTCAGAGCGTCCTTGTTGAGGTGCTCTACGAAGTTTTGGCAGTGGTTAGCTTCGCGTTCGAGGTCGGTCTCGAATCATTGCCTCTTCATGGCGACGTTGAATCCGGTCAGCCATAGGTTGGGGTCTTCCATCCCTTTGTAATATGGGAGCTTCAGTTTAATTGCCTCGCCAAGTCGCACGTCAGTGATCCGTGGGGTGAATGGATTGCGTTTGGCATCCGATAGTATGGCCGAGATCTCGGGTGCCGAGCTGGTGGCGCGGTGGACTTGGGATCCGATTGTATTGATTTGCTGGTGCAACCTCGCGATCTCAGAATTTAGTTCGTCTGATGGCTCCTCAGTGGCTGGTGTCGTGCCCTGGGCGTTGTCTTGCTCCAGAGTTTCAAAAATTAATCGCCGTCCGATCAGTTCTGATCTTGCGGTGGTTGCGGCCACGAAGGCGCTGAGCTGCTCGTCGTATTTGGCTTGCTGGGCATGAAGGGTGTCTAGTTTGGACACCAGGTTTTGCGTGAGGGGGAGTAAGGCGGCCTGGATTGCTGCAAGGTCGGTGGCGTGGATGGGAGCCGAGGGTGCTCCTGTGGGTGGATTCATGTTTGTAGGGTTTCCATGCTCGTCCAGACCAGATGTCTCAGTGTGTGTGGTGGTATCGTCGTTGTTGCGAATGAGGTTGCTGTTATCGATCGGAAGACTCATCGCTTCAGCTTTTAGTTGCTAGGTTTTTTAAGAATTCTATTCTCCTATTCCCCACAGACGGCGCCAACTGTTGAACCAGAAAATCACCACTAGGGTTTTGATTAACAGTTGTGGGTTTCGGAGAATAAGATCTTTTATTAATAGCAATAAGCGAAGCGATTACAAAGAATGGGATAACCGAAATGTTATGCCGAAGTGAAATAAGATGTTTGCGAAGTAAACTAGAAAGCGTTGGAGTCTCTAATTTTGGCTATGCTGCTCTCTAGCTTGTATGAGTTGTTCTTCTTGGCTTCGGGTCTTCTTATTTATAGGGATAGGAGGTCGGTTGTTTCGAACTCCTTTTCCTTTTTGTCTTTTGTGAATATTTCCATATTTGCGATATGGAAGTATCCCTTATTCTCCGAAGAATATGGAAATTATCTTTTATCCTTTGAGTTGATCCGATGTTTTCGGACTTCAAAGGTTATCTTCAAGAGTTTTTCTTTAATCCGAGCTAGATCGCAGTCTTCCTAGTCTTGATGGACTTAGGATATTGTTTGAGAAAACCTTTTAGGAAATGTGTTCATTTCCCTTCTAACAACTAGGTTATTGAAATGGAAATGGATACGCGAAAATTTATAGTGACAATTATATGTCTCGTGATCAAGGATATCTAATATTTTTTGTTTGTATGAAGTTTAATACTTCAATGTTAGGATTAGTTTTATTAAAATGTAGAATCACTATTTTAAAAAAATTCAAAACTTATAATTTTTTTTAAAAAAAAAAAATTAGAAATTGAAACATTTGGAATCTATATATCAAAATTGTATTATATATATTAAAATATTAAACAGATAAATTATATATAAAAAAGAAACTTTAAAGTTCAAAACATTATTATTAAATAATCTATCCAAAAATAAAAATTATACCCTTTAGATTTTAGAGTAAAAAAACTGAAAGATCTTTTTACTATTAATTTCAATAGTTCCAACAATCAAAACTATATAATATTCTATTTCATCAAGAAAAGGATCTTCAAATTCAATAATAACACAATTAATATTCTTATGTAATAAATAAAACTAATTATTAACTTACTCTGATAAATCAAATTAATTATCAACTTACATTAAAATTTCAAATTGATCATTTGTAACTGTTAAGCCTTTTAACAAAAAAAAAATCATTTGTAACTGTTTACCAAAAAAAAAAAAAAATTCATCGTTTTTTAAAAATGAAAACGAAAGTTTTCATCATGTTTCCAAACTAAAATTTTAGGAAACGCAAAAAATTGGGTTTCAACAAATTTTGGATTCCGAAACGTAAAACTTTGCATCTCATATAGAGTTTCCAACTTTCTATATAACCTAGCCTCTTGAGATAGATATTTTTTTTCTTAAGAAAAATACTCAAGACAAAAAAAAAGAATGCTATCAATTATAAATTCACTTCTAGTTATGCAAGTTAAACTCCGAAACAGCTAATAAAGATTCAGTGTTCTAGTTTCTAAAGGAGGGATGTAAACGTATTTTCGAATTTCGAGGGTGATCTGATAAATTATCATAAAGATCTACAATCCTCCATATCATCCTGAAACTTCTTTGTGATTAGAAGTAGTATAGTGTTAAGGAATAAGCCTTCTTGAGACGGCCAACAAAAGTTGAGGCCTTCAAAACATCAAGCTCACTATGACCATCTCTACAATTCGTGAGGGAGATAATTACTTGACCATCTGTATAAGTCGTATTCGTTTCCACGACGTTAAAACTCAATGCTATGTTATGTCATCTAACCAGAAAACAAAAATATATAGGAAACATGATAATCAATTGGTGCAACTCACTTTCTTCTTTCGTTTAATAAGTTCCATAGTGAAAAGCATCTCAAGAAACAAATCCAATCAATCAATCAAATCCAAGTCTCCCTAAATTACTGCTAAGGTTTCCATCAAAACTCAGTTTCCCACTAAAAGATAATAAACCCTAAACCCCAAGGAGAGGCAAAAAAAAAAAAGCCAGCCATTTTTTCTTTGCCTTGTACCTCCTAGCATCACCTAATGTTGAGTGAGTTTTGTTTGTTTGCCTCTAGATCCTTAAGATTAGTTTCCTCAGCTTACTTGTTGCTGATGACCACCATACATTGGATACCCTCCGTAAGGTGCAGCAGCATACATTCTTGGGTCATGAGGTTGCGGTACCATGTAACCATACCCATTGTAATACTGTCCTCCGTAGTATGGTCCGACCCATTGGTTTCCATACTTATCTCTAGGCTGCAACACAACCAAAAAAACTATTAAAATCAAAGATGATTTAACCCAACAAAAAATATCGCCACATCGAAACCCTAGTGCCAGAAAAACACATTAAATTATACTCCCTCTCTTTCCAAAAGATAAGTTTTCTAGAGTTTTCACACATATTAAGAAAATAATTAAGGTGTAACAGTAAATGTATAAACTTTTTGTGTTGAACAATTTTCTATGATTCTAAACCAATAGTAGGACATAAATTCCATTATTTTTAATAAATACTTCTTAAAAGCGGAAATGAGTTACCATTAATTAGTAAAAGGTGCATAGAAAACCTAAAACATACTAATAAAACAGGGCGAGTACAAAAACAAATTATGACTTCTAATTTTTTTATTAAGTTTTTCTATACAATACCTAACTAAGTCAAATGACCATTCCCTAGGAAGTTATCAATGCAAAACAACTCAGTCTGTTTCATTTGGTTTCACACAAGGGTTCTGAGTCTCTTTTTTTCATATTCGTATATCAATGCAACTTGGATTATATAAACAACTAAGTTTATCTCATTTTGGTTTCACACAAGGGTTCTAACTTCTAACGCCAAGAACAGTCTTTTTTTTTTAATATACAAGCAAAAGAAAACAAATTTTGATTTACCAGCTTATTGGCTGGACTACGTCCCCAAGAAAGCCGAACTGTCTGTTTTCCAATTACAGTCCCATTTAGTTTCTCCAAAGCCTCTTCTGCATTTGTTCTGCAAACAAAGTGCCCAATATCAAATCGATTACCATGACAGAACAAGGATAAGAGAATGATTTAATCCATAGTTACTATCTTAATAAGGCATTTGAAATATTACCTGTTAACAAATTGAACAAATCCGCATCCTTTGCCAAGAGGAATCTTGACAGAGATTATTTCCCCATACGCAGCGAAAGGTTGCTTTAGATCTTCGTCAGTGACACTAGAGTCAAGTCCTCCAACAAATATCTATGTTACAAAACATGATTAACGAGAAACAAAAAAAAAAAAGATTTAAACTTTTCTTGTTCATAATCACATGAAAGGAAGAAAACAAAGAGACACAAAGAAAGTAAACAAAAAATTACTGTTGTGTTTGACTCCCCATCAGGACGTGCCATGCCACCATTCGGGATGTATCCACCTGCCAAAATCCAACGTAAATACAAAAGAGACTCGAAAATATAAGTATGTTGCTGAAACAACGAGCAGATTTCTGATGAAAAAGATGTCAAGAAATGCTTTTTCTTTGCGGGCTTTCGTAATAAACGTTTCAGCTATTCCAAACACGAAAGAACGTGTAAGACGACAACAAAATGCAGAGAACTAAACAGAATATTAAGCAAAGATAAAGACAAGACCTTGTGGTTGAAAACCAGTTGTTTTCCTAGGTGTTGCAGGACCGATTCGCATAGCTCGGCTAGAACATTTCACGCCGTGCATCTCAGTCATCGCTTTGGTCCTTTCGTTATCATCTCCGAACCTCACAAAGCCATAGCCTTTTGATCTTCCGGTATTAGCATCGATGACAACTTTCGCAGCTTTAACCGAAGGGTACTTCTCCGAGAAGGTGTTTTGCAGCAGAGAATCAGAGACATCAGGCGCCAAATCCCCCACGAAGATAGAGAGATCAGGTCCATTGTTCTCTAACCGCTTCTCACCGGTGCTGAAACTAGCCCAGTTTAAACGGTAAGGCTGCTCTGTGTTATGCATTGTTGTTCCGTTGAATTCTTTCAAAACCTTATCAGCTATGTCGTGGGAAAGAAACTCCACGAATCCATAGCCTTCGGATAAACCAGTGTGCTTGTTGCGAATAACCTTGACCGAAACCAACTGTGTTAAACATCATTAGACATAATTAGTACCAAAGACACAAGAAACGGAGATAAAGGAAAACACTGAACATGTAAGCAACAAATGATTAATGCACATCTAAATCACTAATCAAGACATATACAAATCTGTATGAACATTACATGAGTACACATATTTAGACCATATGCCCAAGAAACAGAGATAATGTGAACAATGGAAAAAAGGTTACACTAAAAGCTAAACTTTTACTTCATTTTTATCGTAGAGATAGATTACATTAAAAGCAGTACCATTTTTATCAACAACCTCAATTTTTATCGCCATGAAGAAACCAAAAATAACCCCACAAATGTGAATACCTTAAAAGTCAAAGAAAACTGAAGCAACAAAACACTAATCAAGCGATGCATAAACAAGGGTTACACTTATACACGTATATAGAACCAAATGCACAAGAGACAGAGTTAATGTGATAAACTCAAATAGATTACTTTAAAAGCTCATTTTCTAAGATAGAAGTTGACAAATTGTAAAGACTGATCAGATTACATTAGAAGCTATCATGTTCCATTGCCAAGAAGAAACAAAAAAGAAAGCCCCACAAATGTGTAACAATGTAAAAGTAAAAACACTTTTTAAGGTTATCAAAACATTCAAAGTCAACAAAAACTGAAGCAGAAAACTTTAAATGCACATCTAAATCACTAATTCAAAACACAAACATGAGCCAAACAGAGTTAATAATGTCAACAATAGAAAAAGAGATTACTTTAAAAGCTAAATCTCTATGACAGAAGTTGACAAATTAAAGAGACTACTATATCACTTTAAAAGCAACCATTTTTATCAATAACCTCAGGCTCCATAACCAAAAAACACCCATAAATGTGTGAACAAGATCAAAAAGGTTAAAATAGAAAAAACCACCTTTTTAAGGTCAAAACATGATATAGTCAACGACAACACTAATCAAGATATACATTAATGAGTGTGTTAAAGAGAGAGAAGGAATCAGACCTCGCCGGCGGGAGCAAAAGCAGAATTGAGGTAACTCTCATCCATCCAATGATGCAAATCACCGATCCAAATGGTTTTGTTCTCCCCGTTGGATGCGTTCTGATACTTATTACCACGAGATTGGTGATGATGGTGGTGATGATTCGGAAATTGATGATACGGTGAGTAAGGCGGTGGCGGCGGCGCCGGAGCATACATCATTTGATGCGGCATTACAACCGCCGGTGGATAACGCATCCCGATCCAGTGTGGTTGTTGCGGCGGCGGCGGCGGAGGAGATGGTTTCCTTTGATTCTCCTCAACCTTCTCAACCTCCGGCTGCGGCGGCGGCGGTGATGACGGAGGCGGTTGATTGTCAATTAGCGGCTGAGAATCCGAGGCTTCGGATTGGTCCTTGACGTCCGCCATTAAATTTGCCTATGAGTGTGTTTGATTTGATTTAATTTAGTTCGGACCAAAGCAGAGAGGCTAAGTTTGAGAGTCTGAGAGCAAGAGAGAAGATGATGTTCTATTAATGGCAAAGTTTAGGTCAAAATTAGGGGTTTTATCCGATTATTCAGTGGGAACTGAAAACAAGATACGGGTCGGGTTTACGGGTTTGGTGTGCTAGGTTTTTTACACACACCGTTCTGACCTAGTTTAATTAAAAACCGTTGGATTGTACGGAGTGGTTATTTGATCTTGACCGTTGGTTTTTGTTTTTGTATGTTTGTTTGTTTTGCTGCTGCTAGTATGATGATTGATGATGACTGGTTTTGTTTTTAGATTCCCGCATGATGTACTTTCCTTTTTCTGACTTTTTATTTCCTTATACTTTACTATTTCTGAACTTATTTATTAGCTTTACTTTTTGGTTTTTGTATCGAGGAATTTGCTACAAATAAACACTAACAAAGGCAAACAAATTAAATGAATTGTAAAGCCTGGGAGAAAGAGTAAACACAAATTTTGACCCAAAAAAACAATTAAATAAATTTGAATTGTAATACCTTGCAACTAGTGAATTGCAATACCTTCCAGATTAATTTTGACCAAAAAACAATTAAATGAATTGTAATACATTGCAACTAGTGAATTGTAAAACAAACATTGACCCAAAAAAAAACAATTTGAATGGTAAAACCAACATTTAAACTAACGAATTGTAAAGCCGTGAAATAAAACAAACGTTGACCAAAATGAATTTGAATTGCAACTATAGTGAATTGCAATCAATACCTTCCAAATTAATTTTGACCAATAAAACAATTAAATCAAATTGTAATACCTTGCAACTAGTGAATTGCAAATTTTGACCCAACAAAAGAAATTGACTTGTAAAACAAACATTTAAATAACAAGATCGATATTCATCCCCAGCAGGAGTGTCAGGTTACTTTATCTACCCCATTTGCCCACATGGCCAGACAAATTCTCAATCTCAATTTCGATTTTGGTCTCTGCCGTTATCTCCATCTCAGTCTCTAAACACAAAAATTATGTTATGCTGTAAAATGAATTGAGTGTAAATAGTTGGTGAATTATAATAAAAACAAAAAATAGTTAGCGTATTGTTTTAAGTACGTACGTTTAAAATTGGTGTATTAAAATGGTAATAACTAATTAAAGTGAAAATGCACATTCTCATGATTTTTTAAAAATTGGTGTATCAAAATCTGAAAGAGAAAATGTACATTCTCTTTAATGTATTGGTATGGATGAGAATGTACATTTTCTCTAAGAACAAATATCATACTATAACATTTACCCCTCTTTCGTCGCCCATTTGCATGATTTTTCTCTTTTAAAAGTTACGTAAGAAAATATGGTTCACGAAGCTGACAAAAAACATTGCTAAAATCGAAATTTGGCGGAAACTGGAAACACAAGATACAAAGGCTTTAAGGAAAACAATGCAGATCTTTTAGACCTCTACGACATTAGAGGAAGAGAACACTTTTACGTCGATAGAAAAGAAATTTAGAAAAATAGGCTGAGAAGGGACTGCGAAGTGTATCAAACCAAAGCCGAAAATGCAACCAAGCGAACGAGATAGCAGCTAGAGAACCAAGGCATATGACGAGGATGAAGATCAAGTCAAGTTCTTTTTCGCGAACCAATGCCATTGCCACGATGAAGGCAAAGACCATTGTGAAAATTGATAAAGACAATGTGAACAATTCCAACATTAGCTTCGTCGGCAAGGCCGTAAGGAAGTCATCTTCTGCATAACGAGAAGATTGACAAGAAAATTACCACAGATAGCACGGATGATAAGAGGGAAACCGAATCTGATACCATAAACATATCGAACAAGAGCTGCTTTCTAAATCTAGGGAAGCCCGCATGATTACTGTGTCTTTATCAAATCCCGTAGAATCATCATAGCCACCGGTACAGGCAAGCAGTCTCTGCAGAAACTTTTGGATTCAAAACTGGAAGTGAATGCTATCATTTATTGCAATAGCAAAGAAATGGTAAAACCTATGTTATTGTCTATGGGTTTTCTTTATTTCCTTTAGATTTTTGTTTCTGATTTTCATTATTTTTTTCTCTAGACTGGTGTCGTTGCTTATGCCTTATATGAAAGGGATGACTGTTTCTCATTGGGAGAGAGTGATAGTTTGCTATATTCTAGTGATTTATGCTGTATTTCATTCATCTTTTTTCTTGTTTTTGCATCTTTACTTAGTATTTTAGTCTCATTTTCATCTAGAAGTAACATTGTATGCATATAGTTTAGGATTGCATATACATATGCATATTTATGGTGTTTCTTTTGAGGTGCTTTTGGAGGGTATGGAGTTTGGGGAGGAGACTGGAGCATCATACATTCAGAAGAATGCCATAAAAAGGAGTCTTGCAAAAGTCTGCGTTCATATCGAGGAGGAGCATCGAGCTGAACATATGTGGAGTATGCCCGATGCAAGCTACGGTACATGAAGAATAGGAGTGGTTCGTGGATTCTAAGGCACTGGTCTACATCGAGGTAGTGCATCGAGCATGGAAAGTTATACAAGCCCATATGCGTATACACGGAGCATATGTAGATAGTGCATCGAGCTGAACACCGTCCGTACAACTCCGATATGCTTTATCCGCGTGTTTGACCAGCTTTTCTTTGACCTTATCCTGTTTTTTTATCCTTTTTTCTGACTCCTTGGTATAAAAAGGAGCCACAAACAATATTTAAAAATAGAGAACTAGCCCTTTTTCTTATCCTTAGTTTCCAAAAATGGCGATTTCGCCTAAACCTTGTAAACTCTTCTATTTTTAATTAAGTCTTGCAGTTTTATGTTTAAGATCTTGCATATTGCATTTTATTTTTGCATCTGGTAACTTAGTTTCATTATCTTTGCATTTCATCTCATCTGATTATGTTTAATTCTAATCTAATGGGTTCAAACATGTTTAGTGAGTAGTTTACCTTAGATTTGAGGTTCTAAGTAGAGAAAATGGTATTTAGTAATTGATTAAGGGTGATTACGCTTGTTTAGTGTTATCTCTATTGCTTCCTTTTCCTGCAAAGTTGTTATTATTCATAAAGCTTCTCCCTTTTGATTGAATATGGTATTGTTGATGCAAATGGTTCACTAAATGGTCTGAAGTCTTGTTTCTTAGCATGGTTCGCTTATTTGGCTTGATAGCGTAGCTTAGTTTATGGCTCCTTTGTTCAGTGACACCAAAGTTGACAGTTTACCTTGCTAGATGATTCACTTAGGGCTAGATAGTGATTGTTTCAAGACTATTGCTTGATGGTTAGATAGTTTGCATTGAAAGAACACGTCTTTGTTTGAATCCTGTTTATTTCTTAGCATTGTTAGGTTTCACAATTGTGATCTTAAATTTATGTTCTTGATTGGTTGAGTTAGCTGCTTAGGTCCCTAGAGAATCCCAAAGATTGATAGGTTGACTAGAATTATTGCATTGAGAGAGAGAAGATCATTTTGATTAGTGATTCTCTTAGGCAGTTAAGGGTTCTATGCTTTATGCTCATGGCTAGTGAATACACCACCAAAAGTGAGTTTGATACACTAGCCTTACTGAATTGGATTTGCTTATTAACCACTAAGTAGATTTTTCTTAGACACCTTGCTTAGGATTGCAATATTGAGAAATGCTTGCTTGTTATATGCTTGTTATATGCTTGTTAATTGCCTTGTTTAAAAAATCACTTAGTCACTCTTGAAACCACTTAACCACTATTGCTTAGAGCCTAGAGTCTTGCTTTTTATTAAAAGTCTTAATCCGCATTTACATATAGCTTTCTTTGATTACTTGTTTTCATAATCAGCTGCCTTAGTTCATTGCTTAATTACTTATCTTGCTTAGTCTATTTGCTTAGTTGTCTTTCTTGCTTTTGATTTCTTGTATTGATAGGTTGTTAGACTTGTTCTTGCATCATATAAACCCCATCTAAACTTAGCTTATTGAATTGACTGCATCTCAATTTATCCATAAGTGATTGATACCTCATCCCTATACTGCAAACGATTAGGGATAGACATTTGTCTATAAGGCTGAAAAACCCATTCTTCAAATTGGCGCTGTTGCCCTTGTGGATGTTTATTGAGTTTTCATTGCTATTCGACTAAGTTTTTCCTTTTTCAATTACTAATTAGCTCTACTATTTCTCTGTTTTCTCAGGTACTTGCATGAATTTGAGGTCCAAAGGTTAAACAAACTTAGTCCCTCCTATAGACAACATTCATCATCTTGACCGTGAGGTTAAGAGAAGGGCTGTAAGACAGAGAGTTCAGGAGCTAGAAGAACAGAGAATTGCAGAGCAAGAACGTGGCCAGTTGCCACACATAGGTGTTGTTGGACAAGCATCAATACAATAAGCTGCTGCACACTTAGAAGAGGTTCAAGGAGCTATGAACAATGAAAGGCATAATGCTGCTGGAGTAAAAGAACTAAGAGTGCCAATACATGCATCAATAGTTCAGAGATCTACAGGAGCTGGTGATGCACCAGATACACACCATAACCGTATAGGGATTAATGCTCCAGCTGTGCACCAGAACCATTTCGGAATCAAGCTTGGCCTCATCAACATGGTCCAAGGCAACCGGTTTCATGGATTACCCAATGAAGACCCTTTAGTTCACTTGGATCAGTTTGACAAAGTGTGTGGTATGAAAAAAATACAAGGAGTATCAGAAGATGCTTTGAAGCTGCGCATGTTCCATTTTAGCCTTGGAGATAAGGTGCACCAATGGGAGAAAACACTTCCCCAAGGTTCAATCACCACTTGGGATGAGTGCAAAACTCCATTTCTCAACAAGTTCTTTAGTTTAACAAGAACAGCAAAGCTCAGGAATACAATCAGCAGCTTCACACAACATGGGAATGAGACATTCATTGAGGCATGAGGGCGATTTAAGTCTTACACATTGCAATGTCCCCATCATGGATTCACCAATGAGAGCCTGCTGTCTACTTTGTACCGTGGTGTTACTCCTAAATGCAGAATGCTTCTAGACACTGCTTTTAATGGTAACTGCATGGGCAACACAGTAGTTGATAATCTTGCTCTAGTGGAAAACTAGGCCCTCTCAGATGGGAATTATGGTGATGAATATGATAGAACAA